GAACTACAACAACCACAACAACCACATGAAAGCATTTAATGGCAATTAGGTCATTACGCTGAGTCCCTGTACTAAAAATAAACTCCTCTTTGTTGGTGTGTGGGTGTGTGTGTGTGTGTGTGTGTGTGTGTGTGTGTGTGCCCTATAGAGGAACGCTGATAAATAGCTGGCACCCCACACTAGTCAAGTGCCACATCTGTCCCACCATTTCACACACATGCACAGACGAGACAGTACCGACACACAGTCCATAGAATATGCCCTAAACTAGCATGTACATGCAAAAACACCCAGTTCCATCAACAAGGACACACACACACACAAATAGACCAAGCAACCAGTTAAATGAATATTCTGTCGATTCTGTCGCAGGAAACGGAGCCACTAATTACAGAGGGAATTCTCTGAGGATCCACGGGGGAAATACGTGTAGAACATTCTCTGGGGCAACACACACACACAACACACACACACACTGATACAAAGTTCTGCCAACCACAGCAGCCCCAAATCACCAGCTAGGCTAAATGTCCACCTTAAAATACACATGCCCGTCGCTGCAGGAATGCTCTGGAAAAACAACGAGGGACGGGAATCGGCGTGCTGGGGTTCCATGTTTTCTGTTAATATCTGTCTGTCGTTTCTTTCAGAGAGCCGAACCGCTTTACAGACTCCAGTTACATGACATGAGAATGTAAACTTCTTTTCTTTTGTTTTCGATAGGTATTTTACAAAGTACATTTAGACCTGCGTATGCTTTTCGAGTTCCAGGTGCACCAGTGTGCAGGCATAGTTTTGTCTTCTGCCAATCATTCTTGTTGAATTGATTTTGTCTCTTTTCTGGTTAATTAAACTAAGGATGGATGTGTGTATGCACACACTGCAGAGGGGCCATCTGTTTGTTGGGCACAAAGGGTGTTGTTGCTTTTCGCTTGTCTATGAATTGACATTTAATCTATTTTACGCCTCAAAATGTTCTTTAATTCCACAGTAGAATAATAAATCGTCTTGCCACCGCACCTCCTTTTTAAAAATGTCACGCAAAATAGAGAATGTGTTTTAGGTATTTTCTACTTGAGTACAATAACTTGTCTATTTATCTATCAAGCACAGAAGAGCAAAACATGCCGTTTTATTTTGTAAATTTATTATAAATGTCTTCCTGTGCCATCAAAGTCAAGCAAATATGTGCGCTTGCACAACACATCCACATTAATCTCTCATTTCCTGACACATTTTATAATCAATCAATGGTTTTATATCACAGTGTCTGCATCAGTGTCCCACTGTAACAGCATTTTGAATACCAGATAATTAATGTCCGTGACACTGCGGCCCCCAGAGCGCGTATACGTTTGAGATGGGTCATCGATCAGTAATGGACCGTGATCTTGTACAACGTGACGTCCCCACTGTGCGGGCCGCCATCGCGTCGATACAAATGTGTGCCATTGGTGGGTGAAAAGAGAAAGTAAATCCATAGGTTGTTTTTAGCCTCATGTAATACTGGAGGTGATGTTATGGAGAAGATTGATGCAATGCATCTGAAAAATGTTTGTTTCTTCACAGATTCTGCTGTATTGCATCACGAGGAACTTCATTTAGGAAAAGTGAAATGAACATTTTGTCTAAATAAGTTAAAAACTTTTTTAATTTTCATAAGGTTAATTACTTCTTTGCATGGTTTTTACCCGCAGGCCACTCAAATGCTAAAAATAAGCCTTAATGTTCTTCCGCTTTAAGCCAAACTTGTTTGATTATATATATATATATAATATAGCTTTCACTCAAGACTCCCCAAAGCATATTGAGATAATGCACAGTTGTTTAGGCTTTGATAGTTGAAATAATTTAAACTGTGTAATACATGGTCTGATTCATGAAATCATCCAATGGTCGTCTAATAAAAATATGAATACTTATATGACTGTAAAAGTAGACGTTCATGTTTTTCTCACTAAACGCTTGTCTATTCTCGTACTCACACTAATTTCAGTGGGATAAAGCTCTGATTCCAAATTGAAGAAACTATCTTTTTATTTTGCACCTGTCCATAATATCTGATGCATGAACAGTCCTCTTATATTCCCCCCCAAATTTCCTGGCTTGCTGGCCAGCTGCCTGCTCTGCTTATAGGCTGACAAACGATGATCGATTGGCTGTGCAGCTTATGGATGGCTGACCGGTCAGCAGGGCTGAATGCTCGGCAGCGGGAGCGGCGCGTTGGCTCGCTGACTGATCGCTATGATGATTCTGATGAATGTCACACTGCTGCTCAGACCTCTAACTGGCTGGACGACTCTGTAGTACTTTAATCCGACCACAAGACGGCTCTGGAGTTCATCTTCACCGTCGATCGCTCCCCAAGGACTCAAGGCACTTTTAGTGTTGATGAATTCATTTACAGATAACGGAGGCAGATAAATACTTGTGTTGTTTTAAACACAGAACTGCATCATGTGTGCGTTTGATTCCCGTAAGCTGTTAAATGCCGTCGCTTTGAGAGTTGCTCGACCACACGCAGACACAGAGCGTTATTGTTTGTTAAAGCTCTCTCGTGAGGGTAGAGCAACTTTATGTTCCCGAGTCACAGACGGAGTGGGAATAGAAGAAAAAGAGAGGGACAGTGTTTGAGAAAGGTCTGAGTGAAAGAAGAGGTGTGTTCATTCGAACTACAGAGGCTCAACCGCATCATAGACTTCTTTCTTTCTGTCTTTTCACAAGTAGTATTGTGTCCTTAGATCGGATTTGATGAGCCACAATTTTTTAAACTGCTGCACAAACCAGTGGAAAAAGACAAAAGAGAGAAATAACGGAATTCTGATGGTAAATAAAGAGAAATGTTGAAACATTCAGATTTCTTTTGCATCTCATCGCTCTTTGTAAGAAGCTGACGTTTCCGCACCATTCAGACTTACTCTTAAGACGTTAGCTCAATTTACTGCTGCGGCATGCAACAACCTCCTCTTTGTAACTTTTCTCTGATTTATCCTGTGGGAACTTTGTACCAATCCTGGTTCCTAATTCCTCTCACAGAATGCACACATGGCGACATGATTCCCACTGACCAGTACACGTGTTCTGGAATCAGTTTGTATGCAAACCTTCTGCATTTTATGTTATAAACGACTACATAAATGTACGTATTCAAAGAACAGCCTTCACATTCAACCCGCTGTTTTGTCTCCCAAAGAAAAGCACTGAATTGAGATTGTTAAATGTTGTTTCTACATCTTCTTAGTGGAGGAAAACCAGCTAATCAGACAATGACCTCAATTTATTCTGCTCTTGATATGAGACTGTCCACGAGGAGAGAAACAGTCTCACAGTCTAACAATAAAGGGATATCTTTGTACGGTTGTTCTCCACAGGCACTTCCTTCCCTGCACACATCCATCCTACACGTCTGTACTGAACATAATCGATGGCCCGATCACACCAAACAGTCCAAGGCTCACTGCACGGTTCCCGCACTTTTGACCTTTCCACAGGATATAACACGAATTGTATTGTGTCTGTAGTGTGTGCGCGCGCGTGTGTGTGTGTGTTTGTGTGCATGCAGGCATGGACATCTGTGTGTGTTTTAATTCACAGTGGCTGACAGCAACACTTCCACACATATTATATAACATCTGTAGCTCCATTTGCTGTTAACACACACGCACACTCACTCTGTTGACAACCCTAAGTTGACCAAAGAAATACACACAAGTACTGTTTGTGCATGTTTGTGTGCAGAGCTGAGTGTGTGGGAGTGCAGGTTTGGGTCTGTGTGTGTGTGTGTGTGTGTGTGTGTGTGTGTGTGTGTGTGTGTGGTTAGCTCCTACATGTTGTCGTGGGAAGGACTGAGTTTGCTTTTCAGACTGAGGTGTCAGCATCCAAACGTATGAGCTAATAAATGGAAAGGAGCGATGGATGGCAGAGAGGGAGCGCTGGACGTGGGGGATGGTGGAGAAGACACAAGATGAAGAGTCAAAGAGAGGAGAAATGGGGAAGCATCATCTAAGTACGTAAACACAGAGGACTCCTTGGCGCTGCTGGTGATGAGCTGTGAATACCCTTCACGTATGGTTTAGTTTCAGGTCAAAAAAGATCATGTATCTCCAGTTAAATCTTAGTGAAATTATTAAATCAATGTTTAAAAAAGACAAAAATAATAAGTAATATTGGAATAATAAAGATTACATAAACAATACATACTTGCTGCAAATAAACAATAATTGACAGCAGTTGATACTCTCAGTTATGTGGAACCCATTTTTGTATTCAACAAGTATTTGAGTTTTATGTAAGAATCCCAATGTATCTACATTGTGTTTAATCATTAATCTTCTCCCTTAGATCACATTTTCCGCTCATAAGTGAGCCAGATGGAAGGAAAATACATACAGAGAGTGAAACAAATATAAATATAATGTGATCACCTCTAATAGAAGGGGCTCAGGTGGTGTGTGTCTGAGTGTGTGTGTGTGTGTGTGTCATTATGAGCGCAGTGGCAGACAGATGATTTAACAGGTGAATCTCCTCGTAGCCCAGAGCTCATTGGATCAACGTCTCCTGTGACGGATGTTTACATTGAAGCCTGCAGAAACCGCTGAATTTCAGTCCAGTTCAGTATTCTCATATTTTTACTAAATGTCTCAAACTTAATTTAATTAGTAGACTTACTTTCACCACAGCTATTGGTACCAACAATATTCCTTTTACCCGACGAGGAGACTTGCACTAATAATCATTTACTGAATCAAATTGAAACTTGTTGCACAACAAACGGTTGCTGGTGTGCATCGTTTATCTTTTTTGCAGTTGAATCAGTCCCGTAAATACTGTAAAAACACCTGTGTGACGACTCACAGTGAACGTAACGTGTTTTGTCATGAGAAAAACTGTCGACACGGTTCCACGAGCAAAACGTCACAATCTAGGCCTTGTTTGTAACTGTAATAGTAGCAACAGCGTCTCTTTTGCAGACAACAAACAAGCACATTTATTGTTCCTACCTTCACATAGTCCACCGTGGCGTCCAGGCCGGCAGCAGGCTCCCTGGGGAACACACACAAAGACACGGTCCTGTTTAGTGAACACATCTCGCTGCTGGACCTAAACCGCTCACTGTCGACCTTTGGTTCCTTTCTTCTTTTCTTTTTTTTTTTTTTACAAATGAAGCACTGAGCTGGTGTTGTTACGTCTCGCCGGGTCCCTCGCTGGTGCTGATGCAGCTTCTTTAGACATCCATAACTCTGCCCAGCTTTGTTTTCGCAGACGATACAGGTGGTTGGAAGTGCGCCGCTTCGGTTGTAAAGGTCCAAGCGGATGTCGACGGTCATAACAAGTGCAGCTGCACTGTAGAGCTGCACGGCGGACTGCAGTGGCCCCCAAGTAGAACCCAACCTCACACAGAGCTGCTCTAAATCCCAGTCCCTCTCCTTCGGCGTCCCATTCGGAGTCGTCTTTCACTCTTGGTTCTCAGTTAGTGGTAAACATGTTCCCTCACTGCCTGCTTGCCTTGACCTCCCTCTCTCTCTCCCCTTCTCTCTCTCTCTCTCTCTCTCTCCTCCCCCACAATAACACACATCGCAGCCACACGCCTGCCCTTCAGAGTCCACTGACAATTTCACAAAGAGCCGAGAGCACACACATAAAAACAGCACAAAGGAAATTCATTCTTTAAAAATATACACTTTTGTGATGTCTTTGAAAAAACATTATAGCCTATTATTGGACTGTATTTTTGCACTTTTTGTTTTGAGCAGCATAAGATCCTCACATTGTTTTCTTTAAAGAACGTGTGTGTGTTTATTGCCTTTAAATATTTGGTACTTGAGCATATAAATGTAGCTGTGAGTCCCTCTCCACAGGCGGCTTACAGCCAGGGGCTCAGTGAAAGAGGTAATTAGCTCAAATCCCTGACTACGTTAACAAGGTTGGTAGTTTAAATCCCCTCAAGCCCACACTGGTGTTCCCACGGGAATATAAGCACAGTTCATTACTTACCAAACCAAATATGTTTAGCTCTCAGCCCTCTCAATTTAATGTGGCCCCAAATAACGAGTGGGATTAAGTTATATAACTAAACAGAAGACTCCTTTCAAAGCAACTTATCGTCGTTATTCATACGACGGAGAAGTGCTCAGGCCGCTCATCAACTTCGCCGACTGCAGCACATTTCACTCAGAATATGTCACCTGATCCCGTTGCAGGTCCAAATATCGTGACCCTCCTGCCGCCCCACAGCGAGTCCACACAGGTCACGCTCTCAGTAGCTTACGTTCTAAAAAATTCGGATAAATGACCATGCGCAAGTCTTCTCCAACACTCACAAATTCAGTGTGATCCGTTCGTTATTCGAGCTGAAACACATCTGTCTGCAGCTTTTTGATGAGTTAGACTGTAAAATATTTGAGATTCGAAATACCGATATCCCTCAGTGATTTATTCAGATCAACTGGGCTTCTTACAACTTGTAAAAGGCATTTGGATGAGAGAAGATAGCTTCCACTAGTGGTTTACGTGATGGTGATGAGCGAAAGCTGCTCGCGTTTGACATCAGGCACAACTGTATCTGCTGCTTTGTTGGATGCAGCGGTTTTCTGAACTTTTGATTCCCCCCCAAAACCTTCACCAGCCCAACCGCCCGCTCCTTGTGACCCCGTCTGAAGTGGGCGAGATGAGAATCCCCACATACCAGACAACACCCATACCAACGCTGCAGCGGCCGAATGTGCTGCGACTGAGGGAAATTCCCTCCTCTCCTCCAGGAGGTCAAAGGTCAGGCTCACAAACGGCAGCCACCTTGCAGCTGATGGAGGTTAATTGTTTAAACCCACGCCGTCAAAGAAGCTTTGACTCTTTGTTGTAACATCTGTATTCTCCCTGACAACGTTTGTTAAGCCCGACTGCAGTAGTGAAATAACCCAAACAAAGTACAGTGAGACTGATATTCACAAGCTGACCGCAACCAAATGTGCCTTTTTCAGACCATAATGCTGAAACAGCATCAGACGCTGACATATTTCTGCTTCTACGACCACAAAACTAACCTGCAACACAGACGGAGACAGAGCTCTGCGGACAGAATGAGTGAGAGGAGAGAGAAAAAAAAAAAAAAAACATCTGCAGGGAGGGCAGAAGGAGGCAGCACTGGCCGCAGTCTTTTTCTGGCCACTGTTGTTCTTTGTGCTTCACCACACAATACTCAGCACGACCACAGCGGGCCTCAGCGAATGGCTGCACCATATTTTAGTGTCTGGAAGAGACTGAGAGAGAGGGGGGGGAGCAACATGCAGCGTGTGCAGGCGGCCTACAGAGGTCAGCGTGGTTCCATAATAAAGATCTCCTGACTGCCACTGATCCCCGCTGTACTCTCACGCCACAAGGTTTCACAAAATGTTATTCAACCAATACAATTCAAACGAGAAGTGAATGTACACCACTAAAAGGAGACATGTCAGAGTTTTGTAGTTTTCTAAGGTTTCTCTCACCACTTTCGAGTCATAAATTCTGCTCAAGCTTTTTTAAATATGTGAAAAATGTATGTCTGGAGTAATAAAATAAATATTCAAAAAACTTAAAAACTAATGAGATGCAAAAGATTGAAACTAATTGTTTGACGGCTGATGAAACGCTTTAGCAAATGTAAAGCTTCGTGATGAAGAAGTGGCCTGTGATGGCGTCAATGTTTGATACTTACGCTTCAGTCCTTTTCCCTGTTTGTACAGTGCAAAACCTGTATGCTGTAGATTATCATACATGACATATTATAAAGCATGTAGTTTGACATTGGGACAGAAATGGAATATAGTAGGAAAATGTGTTGCCTTTAGTCTACAATCCTCTGAAAATAAGATCATTGTGCTCCTGCACTCTCGGCCCATGGGAGAAGTTTCAGTTGGTTGCAATAGATCCTCCCAAACCTACACGCATACCTGCATTTGGTCTTTTTATACATCTGGAGGTGAGTCCCTGTTGACCTCACGCCTCTTCATTTCACATCCTTCTTTTATTTGCGGCACCAAAACAACCTGCTGTTTTTCTGTCTGTCACTGAGGCAATAAATCATCAGATATAGAACATATTTTACTTTTACAATCCTTTGTACAGATAAACGGACATTTCTGTATCATATAATGTTGAGGAAATGAAAAGTTACTGTCACGATATCTTCCCTCCTCTCTTCCCCCACCCAGCATTCCCTGCCCCCCACCTCCTTCTCCTTTCCTGGTGGTCTGCTGAGCTGCCCATGGAGGTCAACAGGGAGACGGGCAGACCAATGGGAGGCAAGTGCAACATAAGGTCAGGGGTCATAGGTCAGCTGACAGCAGGAGCAATGGAAAGTCAAGAGCGACTGGCACGCTGCCTTATCTTTTTATAGAAATATGTGTAGTTTAGAGGGAGCTTTGGGATTGTTTAATCCTTTTAGTTACTTTGATCACATCACAGAATGCATTATTGACATTATTACACCACGATGGGAAGAAAATGTGTATATAGTCACTCCTTTAAGAAAATAACACACGTTTGATCATCCCGACTTAGAAACATTTCCCAGGATTTGTTAACATCCCGGTAGTACATATTTCCATGTGAGTGACTAAAGACCTTGTGAAATAACAACAACCTTTAAAAACGTTTTGATGCCAAACTTTTCTCTCAGGATCAAGTAGGTTATTATTATGGTTATTGTAATGACCACAGTGGGATTGAACGTGCATGCTATGTTAATTCATCTGCAAGCGCTGTGCTTTGATCTTCAGACTGCTGGAGGCCAATATTCACCGAGTTATAAAGAAAACCCACAAGCCAAAGATCAGCAGCAGATAGCTGTCTCTCGTCCGCCGATGCCTTTGGATGTCATTTAGGAACATAAGGGTCAGAAACATGAATGACTTTTACCTTCATTTTGATCTAAAGTAAGCAGTCGAAGGACACATCACTCATATAATTAACTGCAGTAAGAATTAACCACACGGAGAGAATGGTGCTCCTTCATTATTTTGCCACCTGCACGGGTTGAATTCAACCTGGATAAATGGCCCTGCTGTATGTCAGCACTGTATGAAAGAGGCCGAGGGATGGAGAGGGGAAGACAAAAGGCTCACGGTGATCTGCCATCGCTCCAGCCACACCCTGACCTACAAAGGTAACCCAACCACTGGGGGCTATGCGCACACACACGGACGCACACACACACACACACACACACACACACACACACACACACACAGCTGGCTACATCAGATACTGTCTGTCGTAACTCTACACTAAAGATGGAAAGATGGGGAGGACGTGATGAAGAATGAGGTGTGCGTGTTCCCTCTGAAGTTGAGCTAACTGCTACAGCGCCTCAGGCTCTTTACGGACTCGACTTTCTCCATGCGACTCCAAACTCTCTGAGTCGGTCTGAAGATGTAAGCTATGAAACCTTTACAGACAGATACGCTGTTTGGGTTTTAGTCGACCAGGATTTCTACATGATTTGTCAAATTTCACTTATTTACAAACCTTTGGTTAAAACAAGATTCAAAGTGGTACTTTTGCGTGAGAATTCATCAATACGTCGACTTTTGAATAAGCCCTGCTTTTCCGAGCTGCCTATCAGGTCTATTCAGGCTGAGTATTTGAATTTGAAAAGGGTATTTTGGAGGACTGTTCGTGGAATTGTGTCCCTCTTGATTCGATAATTAACGGTAAAGCAATTTAGAAATCTACCAACCATGAAAACCAAATAAAAACTGTGAATATTAAAATGATGTTCCTCGTCAGACACAACAGCATTAGTGTGTTATGTGTTTACCTGTAACCATGACAGTCGTCAATGATATTTTGGACCAGCGGAGAGGTCATGGGTTGATGGGCGTGTCCAGGGACCAGTGATGCTTTGCCCCAAGGTATCTGTTGCATGTGATTGGCTCTGGGGTCCCACGTAGCGTTGTCATGGTTGAGGTTAGCCCCGCCTCTCTTGCGTCGAGGCAGAGTTCCGTGAATGGAGACTGGCTGGTAGGTAGAAGTGGACAGCTGTGATAGGCTGCTGCCCGGCCCTGGAGGGACTCTGGAACAAGGAAAATGACACGGGGCAGACAGAAGAATAAGAAAAAAGCATTGATGTAAATTAAGTTTTGATTGTGCTCGCAGCCAACTCACCCAGGTCTGGAGCCGAGGAGGTCCATGGAGGAGGAAAGGGAGGCCTGGAGCCCTCTGGAGGAGCAGGTGCTTTGGAGGGGATTGGAGGGGACTCCAGGGTGTGCAGGGCCTCCTGCCAGGGTGTGGTGTGCATGGAGGGACCTGGGAAGACTGGCAAAACGCCCCTCTGCCATCATCCTCAAGTCTGGGAAAAAGAACGTGTATAAATGCAAAGTCAGAACTATTCGACTAGACTCCCATCAACCAGCACTTGAGTTGATCTAGTTCCTTCCACTGAGCAATATATATGGTAAAGAAGAAGGGAATGAACATACAGTACAATAACCCGGGGAAGACAGTTATGTAACTATGATAATACAAGACAGAAAGGTGAGATGTAATTCTCCGTTATGCATTTCTGTAAAGACATATGATCTGAAAGACACAAACACACACGGATGTTCTCACTCAGATGAAATATTATGTCACACGATCTAGTACAACATGTGGCCCCCCATCACCACCACATGGCACTCGCATGGCTGACATACTTCACTTCACGATGCCTACAAAGTACACACGAACACGTTGCCTGGGGGGGAAATGAAGCTACTGACTACATAACATGATACCAGTAGTTTCAGTTCGGTCCCTCTGCCTGTGGTCATGTAGGCAAACGCACACTGAATCTGCCATTCTGGAGGGACGCTGCAGACACTTTACTAATCTGGTTTACCTGATGAGGGCGGTTGCATGCTGTTGCAATTACGTTGGCTTAATCATGTTGAACCATATTCCCAAATCTGTTTCTATTTATTTGAGAAAACAGTTACTTATTGTGTATTGTGCACAAAACATACTGTTCTTAGTTATTTATATTTTTTATTAAATTATTTTGGTTAATAAAAGACACAGTCCCAGCACTACATTATTTTTAAGACTAAATCTTATCACAATATGTCAGTGACAAAGATGTTTTCAACGATACCCTAAAAGTTCCAGAAATTATATATATATATATTACTGTATATAAATATTACTCTGTACCAGACGTATGACTTGTCATCCTCCCGCTCCATAACACTGACTGGAATAAAGACTCCATTCACACAGATGTTTCAGACCGTGCAGCATGCGGTTCAAAGCCAATTTCCCCAGAAAAGGTTAGAAGAGATTAGAGGTCCGACCTTCTGCTTCAGGTCCAACAGGCTGTGACTGCTTTACCATTTAGGAATGATGAATGTGCTTTATGTGCCAGCGAGGCACAAACTACCTCCAATAAGCAGCACTGACTGCACAAAACCCTCTTGTCAGAAAGACAGATACAATAACTATATGTATGTATATCTGTATATACATATATAACGTCTCAGTAGACAGTGGACAGCTCCTTGACGAGTTCCCCTGTGATGGTGACTGTGCTGCACGCCATCCGCATGCAGCAGTTAGTCATTCTTCACAAACTAAAATACCCTCAGCTGACAGACATGTTGGTACACTGGATGGTACGAGATTCCACAACCCTCCCTGTTTCTAATCTTATCTCACACAGGAATCTGACGTGAACAGCTACGCTGGTGTTTGTCATTGTGCCTCTTTTTGCAGAGCCCCATTACGGTGGGATAAAGTGGGCTGCAGGGGAGGAAACAGTGGGGGCTCGGCTGTGTGGCCGTCAGATGATGGTCATGTTTTGAACCTCGGTGATCGACACGGCTCCTGGTGAAAATACATTTGAGTTCAACGGGCAGATGTCAAAAGGGCAATTATTGACCACTTTTTAATTATTTACTAATTAGATGAAGTTAAACGTAGTTTGTGATATTTAACCGGATAAAATCCAGCGAGTTGATTTTGTGTTGTTGATCAGGCCAAGTTAGCAGCAAAGTCAAGTTCCTTTCTAAATCCAGTCAAAACAAATTGAAGTCAACACATCAGCGAAAGAGAGACACATGGCAGTTGCTCGTTGTTGTAAGAACACTTTGTGGTTGATAACTTTTGTTTAAAACTGACAAGCACGGCGGGGGCCTTGGATTAGTCTGACCTTCAGATCATTCAAGACTGAGGGCCACAATAAAATCCTTTTTTCAGACTAGTCCAGACTATTAAAGCTAGTGCATATGTGTGGGTAACATGCCTAGAATCCCACCAGACAGAACAATGTGCAGCGATGAGTCCTACAGTGTGAGATACATCTCAAAGCAGCATGGACAAGGAGGGTGAAGTGAGGCCATATTCGTCCGACAAGCCAATCGGTGCATTGTGATACAAGACTGACGCGAGACGTTTACGTGAAACATGCCTTCAACCGGTTTGAGAAAGCAAGTGAGTTCCCGAGTGTAAAGGAATATGCATCACATGTTCATCACGCTTGTCTGCATTAATGCTTAAAGGCAGATAAGACTTAATCTAAATAGATTAGAGATGAGCCTAATACAACATTTAGACTTTGAAAAAATTGAAAAAGGGGAAAACTTTCCTTTCGGTCCTGAAATCGCTCGGTTGTACCCATTGGAGAGCAAACTAGCAAGCTAGCCAATAGATCAAGGTATTTTCTCCTCCTGTTTCTACCTGTCCAATGCAAACTTTCAATGTGGACCACTTTGCATAAGAGGTGCCCTTCCATAAAGCCAGCCTTGTTGTTTTGCCGGCTTCCATTGTGCTAAACTAGAGAATGAGTCATGAATGTAGCTCTGCACTACAAACAAATATGAAGTTACAGATAAAGTTGAGCCTCTCACTCCCTGTTAAAGAAAGCAGACACATGTACATTTGGGAGTGTGAAATGTTGTTGTGGAGTGAAAGTACACAGTGTGCACAGTGCGTGTTTGGAATAACAGCTGTATGAGGAAACTCAGTACTGTATAAACAGATAATACAAACTAATATCATGAATAAGATATGTAGAAAACCATCACGATAAGATGCTGACGTCCTCTGTATAGGGGGGTAGGGTTGGAGGTTTGATAGCAAATTCATCAAATCAGCCTGATAAATTCCTTGATATTGTTTTACAAGCAAAGCACCATTTGAGTGAGTTTCTTTCTCCTACAAGTGACCTTTGTCAGAGACAGAGAGCACATCACCCACTAAAGCTTTACTGGGGCAAGCTGCTTACAATCCGTCAATTGATTGATTGAAATTAAATGCTGAGTCCTTCTATCTCAATGGAAAAATATAATAATAAAATATTTAACTGGCATCCATGAGCTTTGGAAAGCCTGCAACATGAAGTGGAGCAAAACCCAACTTCAGCAGGAGGTCACAGAGTCACCAGCCTGGGAAGATGAATGTCAATTAAAATGCAAATGGTGGTTTAGGGAAAGGAACAGCTGTGACGAGTAAAGGTAATACCCCCAAAACACACACACACACACACACACACACACACACACACACACACACACACACACACACACACACACACACACACACACACACGCACACACGCACACACGCACACTGTAAAAGTCCTGCTAAGGCATGCTGGGTCAGAGTGTGGATTCCTCTGAGGGGCAGACCTACTACAGGAGGAGGACCTATTATAAGACCCTCAGGGACGGTCAGCCTTGTGTGTGTGTGTGTGTGTGTGTGTCTGTGTGGCCCTGACCATCTGCCAGACACACACCCTCATGCAAAGAGGAGAAAGGACAGTCTCCCACGGACAGACAGCACTTACGCACATGAATACTTTCCCAATTAATCTCATAAATAAATGATTCGAGCCGTAGGAAGTCATTTCCACTTTGAGTGAAGGTGTGAAAGTTGTAACCACTCTTCTCCTTTTACCTCAACTCTCTTTGTCCTGCGCTCCCTCCTCACTATTCACTCCACTATCATCCGTCTTTCCCTCCCTGTCCTCAGCCGCCCTGCTCTACAGAGACATCGCCTCTCTCCTTCTGTCCGCCCATCAAGATGTCCGCTCGTCTTTTGCCTCCACACTTTGTCCCCTTCATTCTGTCCTTTGTCCCTCCACCTCTCGTAATAATGGACTCTGCTCTTTTTTGCATCATTCTCTCCTCCCTACAGCTGTTCTTCAGCCTGTTCGGTGGCTGCAGCGTCCCACGTCCCACGTCCCACACACACACACACACACACACACACACACACACACACACACACACACACACACACACAGGGAAGGACGGAGCGATGGCATTTCCTTCAGCAAAGTTCACCATTTGCCGAGCAATAAAAAGGTAGTTTGTACTTTGTTTAACAATGTTTTCGTATGTTTCTAGAGTGAGGAGGTAACCTGTCGTTGTTGCTATGGTTACATGCAGTTGGTCATGATTTAGGGTTGAACTGTTGACTGGAACCACGTTGGAGAACGACTGATACAGCGTAGGAAAGTGATTAAAGGGTGAGGGAAGCAAAACTCACGCTTCCGGCCTTCACCATGTTTGATATCTCATCTGAAGCACTTTCAAGATTTGGATCAGCGTGAAACTCTTAAAAAGTCAAAGGTAAAATAAGAGAAAAACTCAACCAGTCAAAGAGCTTAAAAACATGTTGCCTGCAGCGTTAATTGTGAGCTGAACTGCTAAAACATTCAGCAGTCCTTTACTTTCCAATTCTGTGTCATTAGCAAAGGAATTCAGCAACTGCAGTTTGTTTTGGTTCCAGAAAAACTGACAGGAAATATTGCAAAAGCACATCATTAAAGGACATTCTGGGATTATTCCACAGACCACCTGGATTCTGCGCTGAGGGAGAAGGAAGAGAACGTGATGATCACGCGGACGTTTGTTTCATTTGATTTCTGTTGGGCAGGAGAGTTTCTTTCTGTAACCGGTCAGACCGATAGTGGCTACAAGAAGCTGTGAACTTAACATTTGTATGTTCCTTGACTACGGTACCGAACACAAAGTATTGTGAAGAGACGTTTGCTCTGTCACCGGCAGCAGTGAAGACCTTGGGTCATGAACGCCAGCACACACAAACGCACACGCGGTTACGGGTGGGAAATAAGCGCAGATTAACAGGAAGAGGAAGTGGCAGAATAAACATTCAGACAGATCATTATGAAGGATTACTGCCAATAAAACAAATATATCTCCCTAGCTTCCCTTCCACTGTTTCACTATGATCCTAATTATATCTCACAGGGGGACACACACGTTCTTAAGAAACTAAGTTAATGTTTAATGTGATTTAACTTTGTAATATATATCGTCTCCCATGTTAATCCATGACACAAACTAGCAT